TTTATTTTTTTAACGCTTAAGCCATTTTTAATTTATTTTTAATATTTTTGGGGTTTATTTTATTGAATGACTATGTTTAAGGTTAGTGCATTTGATTACATGTAATTGCTCCATTCAATAGGAAAAAGCTTAAACAAAAAATTTTAAACATATTTTCACAATGTGAGGTTATACTGCCATTTCTGCATTTTATGCTATCATTCCTATTGAAATTCAGTCACGTAAATGACTGTAATATTTTCATCTTTTTAAAAAGTGCATGTCAATATTTCTGAAGTATGTTTCCTGTGATGATTTTTTTAAACGTTTAAAAAGCGAAATATTATATTTTTAAGGGAAAATTTCATTTTTTAGTTTAATTCACAAGTAAAATTAAATTACTGTAGTTGGCTGTATACCATGAATCACAAAAGTTTAATTTAAAAATCCTTTATATAAGGTATATAAATAAAAAGACCCTTTCCAGATACATCACCTAACGTTTTCGGACTAAAAAGTCCAACATCAGTGTATTGTTACTAGGTATACATGAGTCAAGCTACTAAATATCTGGGTAAAAAATGATTAAAAGGTTAGAAAATTTAATATGTGTTACATTATTGTTCAAAAGATGTGATGTTAAAGTATTTAGCAGATACCCTGCATGGCAACGTAAGACTCCCAATAAGGGTAGCTGACTTTCAGACCATGTCTAAATAAGTTCTAGATATCAACTCAGGTAACATAGTTTGATAGATTTCCGTTGAATTATCAAATTTTCATGTATATATATATATATATATATATATATATATATATATATATATTTAATATATATATATATATTTTTTAATAAAATAATTTTATCCACAACTAATTTTTCTGTTTAATATTTCTTTGTAATGAAAATTTTTGTCGATCAAAATTTAGTATATCACTGATTTGTATCTGCTTGGTAAAAGTACACTTTGTTGATCTTGGTTATTGAAATATGTTATTATTTATTGAGTATTCATTTTGTGTGTAAACATTTTTAAGGGTTCTCCTTTTTATGTTTATATCTACTGTTACTGACTTACTTCATGTACCATACCTGGTACTATGTCGTTGACAAATCTTGTATTTATATCTTCCATGATGATTAATGCAAATGTTGTTTTTATTGCCACAAACTTTTCAAGATCTCTATAATACTTAACTCTGAGTTCTATTGACTTACTCTCTTAGGTCTCGTATACAATTATTATTTTTAATCTATATTGTTCCGTGTTTCATCCTCTAGTATTTGCTTGGAGATGTAGTCAACAATTTTAATGTTATTTGTCTGGTTTTGCTTATTAGTAGAGCTATGCTACTTCGCTTTGTTATTCTTGGAAACTCTGGTTTATATGAGTGATATTGCGCATTACGCTACCCCAATCGTCCTTCTGCGTTTTCTATCTGCTATGTTACAAAAATTCTCTGTTCTGTAGGTATACGCGTATAATACAAGTGAGTTTATCATCTAAGGGGATGTCATATAGTTTTTAGAGAAATGCCCTCTAATTTAAGGTGTCGTAAGCGGCATTTAGATTTACAAATACCACCCCTGATACCTAATATCTTTCCCAATCGTTGTTCCTTTATGCACACATGATGACCTCTGTTAATATAAGTGACCATCTGAAAGGCCAATATTTGTTAATAAACCACTTGAATGTTTTTTAAATATTTAAACAGGCTTACAAATTTCTCAGTTTCACTCAACATTTCTTGTATACTACCTCCCAACTGGTGTTGTTTTCTTTTAGTAGAAAGATGTGGACATTCTTTAAAGAAATGCTTGACGATTAAGGGACTACTGCAATGGCCGCATGCAGGTGGATCGGTAGATGCCATAAGAAAGCCATGTGTAAGACGAGTGTGTCGAATTCTTAATCTTCTGTCTTCTGGACACAGGTTGTGGCTCTAAGGAAAGTATAACTGGTTGTACATCGTGTAAGTGACTTGGGGTGGTGTTCCAATTAGCTCGTCATTGCTCATTTATGAGTAGCATGTTTATCGAAAGAACAAAGAAAAGTGTTGACATTCGAAAGTTGCTTACGTCACGACGGATGTGTAGAGATATGCAAGGGTGAAGTTGCAGCAAGATCAAAACCGTCCAGAATAGAATTTAGTATACAAGAGAGAGGTTGTGCAGTTCTTGTGGTCTGAAAATGATGAATGGGATTATTCGGTTAAATCGGTAGTTTGGCTACTGATCTGGATACTAATCGGTAGACTGGCTTTTGTGGATTGGCTGATGAGCTAACTGTATATGACAAAAGAAGATGTTGTCTCCTTAACCAGAGTGGCGGTTTGTTAGCTTCACAGTACATACTTTGAGCTGGACTAGATCTGAAGGCACCTAAGCAGATCCTAAGACCCGTATTGTGTACAGAGTCAAGAACTTTTAGATCTGACTTGGATGCAGATATATAGACAAAACTACCATAGTTATTTTGGAGCGAATAATTGATCTGTAAGCTGTAAGCAATACCTCTTCATCAGCTCCCCATTGGAAATGTGCTAAACAGTTACCTTTCGTTTCCTGTATGTGTGTATTCCAAGTAAGTCTGGATTCAAAAGTTAATCCTAAAACTTTATGAAGAACAATAACATCTAGTAATACTCCGGTGTATGTCAAAATTGGATTATCTTTTGTCGTTTTTCTGTTAAATTTTATGGTTCTAGTTTTTTGAAATGAGAAGGAAAGACCAATATGCCTCGACCACCTTTCTATATTATTAATGGCTGTTTGCATTAATCGACAAGTTGTTTCAATATTCTTTCCCCTGCAAAAGAGTACAAGGTCATCAGCATATAACGCGTATTGAACTGAAAGATGAATACTTTTGCCTACATCATTAAATGCCAAACTAAACAAAGTTGTGCTTATAACAGAACCTTGTGGTACTCCATTAGGTTGAATACGAGTAGATGACAGCTTTTCGTTTAAAATAACTTAAATATCATCTAAAAAATTCTGTACAAAGTAGTATAATATAACAAGTCCACATTCTTGAATATTTTGGAGGATTACAGATTTTTGAACAATGCCAAAGGCTCCTTCGACATCAAAAAAGGCTGCTAATAAATCTTGTTTACAAGTCATAAAGTCGGAAATATGTGATTGTAAAATTACCAAATTATCTGATGTAGAACGATGAGATCTAAAACCGGATTGTGCCGATGAAATAACTCTATTTTTTTCCAAAAATCTATAAAATTCCTATAAAATTGGCGTAAAGCGAAAGGTGATGTGAAATATATTAGTGTTTCACTAATGAGCACAAAAAAAGTTCACAGATAAACAAAATAAACAGTTCAAAGCAACTATTATAGTCAGATTTAAAACAATACTTTTACGCTTACGCGTAGGCAATAGTTAACAGCAGTTTCCAATACGCTACACCCTTATGTTTAAATGTCCAAAATTTAGTAAATTTACAATCCAAATATTAACTTTAAAACTTAAATAACTAATCTCAACGTGATTCTCAACATACAGAACGACCTTCACACGTTCATATACCTGTTTTTGACAATTATTTAAAGTTGAAAATAATGATAGCTTATACAAGCGATCAAGTATAAAGCAATAACACCGAACATATTAACTCTGATATACCAAACCAATACAAGGAATATAGTATGTTGAAGAATCAAGTTACCAAAATATTTTATCTGACTAACGACTCACTAATATTATGCTATACGATACGTTATGGGTCGTTAATGGATTACATCTTAAGTAGGTGTTATTTTCATAAGTTGTAAATTTTAATATAAAAATTTGTTGTCACAATATTATACACGTTTAAAAAAGAACTCCGATTTGGAAAAAAAAATATATATAAGTAACTATTACAGAATACTTCTAGCATACTTTCAGGGTTCTACCCCAAAAATATTTTATTAAAATTAAAAGTTAAAATTAAAATGACTTAAGCATTTCTTTTTACTGCAGCTCATATCATGTTATATTTACAATTCTTTCTAGAACGGGCTGTAATTAATTTGTCTTAAATATCCATATTGTGTGGTTGAGGCCCATTGTCGGTTCGGCATGATTTGTCACATGCTCTAACGTATTCTTCAATACTAATATCGTTTGAGAAACTTTTTTCAGATACTTCCGTTTTGTTACTTAATCTCTCATTTGACTTTTATTCTACTTTTAATGTTACGTTAAATGTCAAGTAGTGTATTTGTACAGTGCAGTTATAAGCTAAATTAGGTGTTGTGGTGTACCTTTTTCTTTTATCCGCCATAAGTGTATCCGTCTGTTCATGTGTATCCAATGTGTAGAGGGATATTGGATTCCCTAAGATTGATTTAGGTATAAATTATTGTGTTTTAAATTTTATGAAACAAATATTGCACGTCATAAACTGTAGCAATCGGGAAGTTACTAAGATCTCCCTGTTGTAGAGTTTTCTAAAATTTTATATGGTAACACATATTAGAGTCCTACTACTTTCTTAACCCATTACACAATTATTCTACTTGATATGGTACGTACATTTATATAATAAATGTTTCAGTTTCATTAAAAAAATACTAATGCATAAAAATGGAAGCTTTCCAAGTTTATAATATACGCTTACTTAAGTTTAAAAATATATACATAAATAAACATAATATAAATATAAAATATATAAAAATATAAAATATAAATATATAAATAATTACAGCAAGTAATACAAATTACCACCTTGCTTATTAAACATAAAAGAAAAATAAAGTTATATGTCGGTTAACAATTCATATTATAAACTATTAAACTACATTAGCCAAGTATATATGAAATTCCTCGATGACTAAATAAATGTCAAGTTCCAAAATGTACCTGCTGTAAAATCTGAAAATCTACAAGTAATAAAATTAATGGCAACATTGCAGGAGCTTAGTTGTGTACGCGAAAAAGTCTATTATTAACCGCTAGAAGTATATATATATATATATATACAGCTTCATAACTATATAAAATATGGACTTACCTCTGTACTACCACTTGAATATTATTGCCAGCATTTTTGAATAAATTTTGAGCATCTTGATGACGAATATCTCTCGAATCATAGTTGCCTACTTTGGTAATGATGTCACCTCTGTGAAGTACACCCTCTACTGAAGATCCGAATCCCACCTAAAATAACACAGAATTAAATGTTTGAAAGTTTTTGAACAATTTCCGCATTTGAATTAGTTTTTTCCTTATGTGCTTTCATAATTTTCCTTAAAATAATTTATTTTGCAGTATATCCATCCAATCTTTAGCTTACCATCCTTTCTTTTTTACAAAGAAACAGGTTTATTATAATATTGAATACGAATATTCGAAATCGAATCGTCAAATAAATTATAAAATGTAATTTCTATTAGAGTCAATTGTGGCGTAATTCCATATAAACAATATTTTACTTAAACATGCCGCACAAAAACTGTTTCAGAACTTTTTGAAATAAACCTTAAAGTTTCGTTTAATTTAAAGTAAATCTGTAAACGTTTATCACATAAAAACTTTTTTCAATCATTAACTTCGAGTTTTTTATCGAAGTGAATTAATTTCCCTTTTTATAAAAAAAACGTTTCTTGGCTTATTTCAGATGCCCCTGAGGATGATCTATTGATTGAAAGTACTTCAATTCAATTCAATTCAATTCAATTCAATTCAATTCAATTCAATTCAATTCAATTCAATTCAATTCAATTCAATTCATCAATTCAATTCAATTCAATTCAATTCAATTCAATTCAATTCAATTCAATTCAATTCAATTCAATTCAATTCAATTCAATTCAATTCAATTCAATTCAATTCAATTCAATTCAATTCAATTCAATTCAATTCAATTCAATTCAATTCAATTCAATTCAATTCAATTCAATTCAATTCAATTCAATTCAATTCAATTCAATTCAATTCAATTCAATTCAATTCAATTCAATTCAATTCAATTCAATTCAATTCAATTCAATTCAATTCAATTCAATTCAATTCAATTCAATTCAATTCAATTCAATTCAATTCAATTCAAGTCAATTCAATTCAATTCAATTCAATTCAATTCAATTCAATTCAATTCAATTCAATTCAATTCAATTTAATTCAATTCAATTCAATTCAATTCAATTCAATTCAATTCAATTCAATTCAATTCAATTCAATTCAATTCAATTCAATTCAATTTAATTTTATTTAATTTAATTCACACTTTCACAATTACACTGACAATTGTTAAAATAATTTAATATACATATTACATTTTTTGTTTTAGTAATATAACATTTCCAGAAACAGCCTGTTTTTATAATTATTTGCTGTTTTGTATGATTTTAATTTGTATGATTAGTATAGTCAATAATTGAGATGTTTGGCCGATGTAGGAATTGTTGCAAGAGAGGCATGGAATGTTGTAGACAATGTTACTAAGCCTATCTATGAGAGTCTTATCTTTTATCTTAGAATAAAGATTATTAATTGTTAGTGTTGATATACAAGCCACATTGAGTTTAACGTTATTATTATTATTACCAAAGCTATTTTCAACACTTTTCAGAATCCTTGTTAACCCCGGAGTGATATCTCTGAAATAAGGTAATGAAAAATATTTGTAGATAGGAGTATCCGAGACTGGGTTCACACTTTAGACATCAGGGTAAGGATTGTTAGTCGTGAAGGAAGGTGAAGTATCTTCGTTATGGATAGTGTTAAACAAAATCTTATTCACTAATGGTGTTGGATAAGCGTTTGAAATGAAAACTTTTTTTAGGATTTATAGGTTTTTTGTATGAAAAAAAGGATCTGATAGTTTTATTCCTCTATTTTTCATTTGTTTGATTAAGTTGACTTTCGCGGACTGTCGCGGATAGCAGCCTACAAAGCATTGGAGAGAGAACACATACCCATCGGCTGGAACTCGTGCAAGATACGAGAGAGATTGCACATCCAGCGATGCTCTAGATGCCTACAGTTCGGGCGTAGCAAAAACGAATGCAAGGGAGAAAACAGAGCGGACTGTTGCTATAGATGTGGCAAAGAGGGTCATCCAGTACGAGAATGTAGTCATTTGAAGGCTTTTTGCCTCACCTGTAAAGAAGCCGGGCACAAAGCCGACAGCTTACGATGCCCGGAGTATAGAAAACTTATATTTGAAAAACGGAAAGTCAAGAGAGGCCCTATCAGAACGGAGGAGGAAAGAGTGGGTGAAAACACTTAGGACCAGGAATCAGACAGCGTACGGGTAAGTTAAAGAGATAAGACCCCTTAGTTTTGACAAGTTTCTACAAATAAATGTGGGAAGGTCGAGGGCTGCTCACGATGTTGCAGAGGCACTTGCACGGCGGGAAGGTTATGACATGATCCTATTTTCAGGAGCCCAACATAAAGTTGGTCTCTAGACAGGGGATTATTAAAGATAGAAAATCTGACGTGGCCGTGTACGTGGTGAATCGAGAAGCTGGCATTACCAGACACTCCATTAAGAATGGTTATGTTAAGGTATATGTCGGAAACCTGGTAGTATATAATTGCTATGTTTCACCAAACATCCTGCTTCGATTATATTACAACAAGATTACGTTGACTCGATTATGCAAGAGGCTAGGATGGAGTGTACCGGTTGTCATAGCTCGTGACCTGAATGCGAAGGATCGTCCATGGAACGCACGAGTGCAAGATGGGAGAGGGAAATATCTATCAGAATGAATCCACACAATGGGGCTTACCGTTTTAAATGACGGTAAGGTAACTACATTCGTGAGAGGTAATGGTGAATCCTTTCTGGACATCACGCTGGCTTCAACCAAATTTCTAAACAGGGTCGTAAGCTGGACTGTTTTAGAAGAAGAATCGCTTAGCTTACACAAGTATGTGAGTTTTGAAATAGCTAGCAAAAGACAGAAACGTAAAAATGGGGATATCAGTCTAAAGAGATGTTTAAATGAGGAGGTTTTTGTAGATGCTTTTGGCTTGATTGGTCCGGGATGTGAGGATGTGTGTGAGTTAATTGAGGATCTAAGTGATGCAGAGGAGTTGGCTTGTGTAAAATCAAATGGGAGGTATGAAAGAAAACAACCATACTGGTGGAACAAACAGCTTGAAAATCTGAAGACAAACTGCATGAGAGTAAAAAGGGAGTGTTAGAGGTTAAAAAGAGTAGTAGTAGATTTGGAAGAGAGAATAAATGTATTAAAGCGAATGCAAAATGAATACAGAAATGAGATAAGAAGATCTAAGAAAGAAAGGTGGAGCAACCTGCTTCAGGATCTCGAAAGGGATATCTGGGGGCAGGGCTTCAAGATTGTCTGTACCGAATTGAAAGGGAAAAAGATACTCTACCCCCTGCCTGAGGAGGAGAAACTCCGTTTATTACGTGAACTTTTTCCTCAGGTGGAGGATAGGCGTGAAAGGGTTATTGGTTTCGTATATGCGGAACCTTTAACTGAGTTGGAACTCGGCGAGGCGGTTGGAAGCATAAAGATCCGAAAAACACCTGGCATAGAAGGAGTCATGCCGGAGACAATAATACTCGCCGCACTTAAATACCCGCAGGTTTTTCTGAGATTGCTATACAAACTGCTTGAACAACAGCAGTTTCCAACAATGTTGAAAGAAGCTGAGATTGTCCTTACATCGAAAGGTAAAGGTCAAGAGGAAGAGGTACGATTTTGGAAATTTGCCTTTTTAGTTCGATAGCTAAATTGTACGAACAACTTATAAAAGGCCGCCTTGAGCGAGAGCTAGAAGAAAAGCATGCGCTGAGCGATCGCTAATATGGTTTTAGGGCCAAAAGGTCCACCATAGATGCGGTCACATAAGTAACCTCTTTAGTTACGCAGGATACAAAGAGATGGGTGACTCTCGTCCTGCTCGATGTCAAGAATGCCTTTAATACGGCATCATGGGAAAAAATCATGTCCGGGCTTAGAGAATTGGGCGTTAGTGAATACCTAACGCCCAATTACGTTGACCACTAACTGAATTAGTGCCAAGGGGATGCACTCTTGTAGCTTATGCTGATGGTCTCGCACTGGTTGCGAAGGCGAGTCAGAAAACGGACATGGCTAATGCGGCTAATAGAGCCCTGCGTGGCATTAGTAGGTGGATCAGAGAGAACGATCTACTGCTAGCACCTCAGAAAACTGAGGTGGTTATTCTCAAAGCGACCCGGGAAAGATCCTCTCTTCGCTTTATAGTGGAAGGTGTGGAGGTTGCACCAGTTAAATCAATTAAATATCTGGGAGTCTGGTTGTCGGAAGGTCTAAGGTTCAGAGTATACATCCAAAAGACAGTAGAGAAGGCAAACCGAAATCTGGAAGCATTAATACGGTTGATGCCAAACATTGGAGGCCCAGGAAGCACCAAAAGAAAGGTACTAAATGGAGTTTTCCTGTCGGTAGTAACCTACGCTGTACCTGTGTGGTATAGTGTACTAAACACTGCAAAATACGCTAAGCTGATGAAGACTTCGCAAAGGCTCCTTAGGGTGTCTAGTGCATATAGGACAGTCTCGAATGAGGCTCTATATGTCATTGTAATGTAAGCGAGGAGGAAGGATGTAAATATACATGAGAATGAAAGAGAAAGAACGATAGTAGAGTGGCAGAGAGAATGGGCGAAAGATAGTGGAAAGGCAAGGTGGACGAAGGAGCTTATTCCCGATCTGAGACCGTGGTGGGAATGTAAGTTCAGGAAACTAGACTACTTCCTGACACAGTTTCTGACCGGACATGGTAGTTTTGGCACCTTTACAAATAGAATAGACAAATCTGCCTCGGCAGACTGTACTGTTTGTGCGGTACCGGATGCTCCCGCCCACATTTTTAACTGCCAGAGATGGGCAAATGAGATGGGAGATTTCGAGAGGCGAATGGGTTTCGGGCTGGATAAAAGAAATATTGTAAACATAATGTTGAGAGGAGAGAAAGAATGGAGAGAAGTATGGAGAGAGAGAGAGAGAGAGAGGGAGAGAGAGAGAATGCAGAGAGTACACTGTCTGATTTCTGGGGTGATGAAGAAAAAGGAACAGGAGGACAGAGGAGGAAATTAAGCCAAGGATCTAAAAATTTATAGTTAATATTGTTTATTAGTTTATGGCCTAACGTCTAAACATTTTCTGATTTACGGTAATAGGTATGGTTATA